TAACTATTTTACTATAAACAATGAACCACAAGAAAAGGTTTATGATGGAATTTGGGGTTTGAAAATTCGGTTTCACCTTAAAGATAAAGCTCACGAAAGTGGTCCTTCAGATGCAGAAGTTTAGAAACGTGTAAGAGTGTTTACCTGCTTATTTTACAATCACACAGTAGACGTGCTTTGAACATTTGAAACACCAATGTTAGGAACCTTTTTTGTGTGTGTGTTTCTTCTGTTGTTTGACAAAATCTGTTGCTAAACATGTCAGACAACATAATCGGCTCATTTAACTCCTTTTATCTGTTAGCTGGGCAGATACAAAGCATTACTTAGCGTAGAGTAGAATCGTATACACCATGTATCCACATAGTACGTCAATGAGCCCTATAAGCGTATATGTTCATAGTTTTCAACAGGTTTATTTATTTGGGCAGTGTCTCGACAAATGTTCGTCGGAACCACAGTGCTTGCATTGGTCCTTCGATGTGCGCGTAAAGGTGGGTTTTTTACACACACTCGCTGCGTCCGCGCCGTCGATGAAGTTGGTGCTAGGAGGGTGATAATCCTTCGTCTCCTCACATGTGGAGGGTTTCCTCTCAATCACCACCTCTACGTCTTCGCGGGAAGGACTCTTGGCCTGCACCTCTGTCTTTGCCGATGGGAGAGGCCCGGAACCATCGCAATGCCTTGTGAAGTGCGCCGAACTTCCACATTTTTGGCAACAGTCCTTGGGAAATGTTGTTTTTCCAGGCGACTCGTCGCCTTCCGTGCGAGTTCGGCGTGGCGTGGGCACGTCGTCAGGTGGCAGCGCAGCTTCTCTCTCGGGTTGATGTTTGCTTTGAATATCGCGTTTGTTGACATTGGGGGGGACGCGTTTGTTGAACGATTTATTCTGTGGGACGGTACCACCGCAGTCGAAAAGCTCTTGTATCGCGAAAGGACTGGGGACGACGTAGATCCTGTACTTCCCGCTCCATCTGAGGTTGGAGAGGTAGTCGAGGTCCGCGGTATCGTTGGATTTGGCCGCCTGTTCGTGAGCGACGGCCTCGGCGATCTCCGCCAATGTACAATCCTCATCACCGTTCAGGAGAGGCAGGGTAGGCTCGTCGGTACTTTGGGTACCAGAACTCTTTTCTTCCACGAGCCGATGTGAGGCCCACGCATACACCTTTTCAGCACGCTCCACATCATCCAACTCGACTATTGCGAAGCGGTGCCGACCAAATCCGCTGAAGACAGAGCGACGTACCCTAGAGCGAAAAATTGCCCCCAGGAAGGATTCATCGGCGATGGAAGGGATGGGATACACAAGGAGGCAGTTATTCAGACATACAGGAGGGGATTCGTGACTTGTGGTCAGCATCTGCTCGGTTGTGTGTGTGATGGAAGTCATTGTGGATCGGTTGACTACTACACTCTTAGTTCTTAAAATTACTCTTGTCCTCTTTATAGAGGTCGTAGTAACCAAAAGGAAGAAACTTTGACGGAGGAGAGTTAGGGGGAAAGAAGTAGCCTATGAAAACAATCCATAGAGAGTCAACCCATGCAATTTAAAAAAATACCAATAAAAAAGCGACTGTGTGTGTGTGTGTGTGTGTGTCAAACCCTGTTTTCACAGAATCAAGCTTTTTGACAAAGATAACGGGCCAATTGATTTTGCCCTAACAGAAAGGGTCTACCTTTAATTAAACATACATGAAAAGTACATAAAAAGAGTTAAAAACCCTTGACGAAATGAAAACCTTGTTGCGTTGTCAAAGTCCAGCACCACGGGTAGGTGGTCGTGGTATGTGTGTGCTGATGATGGGTAACGCGCTAAACAATCATCGTGCGCGGCCACCTTCCTTGTTTACGGAATTTAGGTTAGATATTTCCTCTTCCAGTCTATTGAAGAAGTGTCTTAAAGAGAAGTAAATTGAGACATTTAAAGTTTAACGGACGCACAGTTTGAACAGCCGTTGGGTAACCTTTTCAACGTTCGCCAATACGTCCGCGGCGGGCGAGATGACTGATTCCTCTCGCGTGCCAGCGCAGACCTCTTTTGTTGCTTGAGTGATTTCCTGCCCCCCCCCCCCCTCACGCCTCAAGCAAGAGGGAAGAAGATTCTTGAAGTTACCGTCCCAAGAACCCTCATCTTCCATAGCGTCCTCCCTCCCAGCGGGTGCCGTGCCATCCGCCTGTCACAAAGGGTCCCCCCATCAAACACCTGACAGGAGCCC